AAATTATTGCGCTAGCTCACGTGGTTGCAGAGCTACCGGGATTTAAAAATAGTTACGCAAAACTGAGCGTGCTGCTCTGACCGGCTTTAAAGGGTTAACATCACAGTCTTGGTAATATATTGAAAAGAATCCAGCTGTATATTCTCATATTGGAGCTGTTTAATAAACAAATCACGCTGAAGACACAGAAACATTAAAGTAGCTTGAAGTTCCAGGAGACAGAGAACAGATTAAAAAGCTCAGATAATGTGTTGATGTTTCATAATGTTCTTCAGAGATTTAGTGAACATGTTTTCACAGAGATGACGTAAAAGCCCAGAGCTGCCTCAGCTGTTGTTCAGCTGAGTCAGGCTTTCATCGGCCAATTTGAAACCATTCCCTGCTGTCACACTAGATGCCACGCAGGCTTTAAAAGTCGATTAATAAAAGTTTATGATCCGTTTTTTGTTTTTACTATCTGCACTCAGGCCTGATCTGTACAGAGCATCTGGGAAGTTTGAGCTCCTCGATCGCATCCTGCCGAAGCTCCAGGCCACCAACCACAGAGTGCTGCTGTTCTGCCAGATGACCACTCTCATGACAATCATGGAGGACTATTTCGGATACCGCAACTTTCAGTACTTGCGTCTTGACGGTGAGCTCACACACACACATCTGTTTGAGGTGTCCTGAGCTGAGCCTGTGAATCAGGACGAAGGCAGAATCAGCATATTTTAAAGTCCTGAAAGAAGCTGAGTGGAAACAAAATCAGATGCTGTCTTTGAGTTTTGTTGATATGCAGTGAGGGGATTAATGTTGTCGTATCTTTACCTGAGACAGTGAAGCAGCTTGTGGTGAGTGGAGCTGCTGGATTATCGCACTGCTCAAGAAAATGAAAGGAACCATGGAAATCACACGTGGGACTCAATGCACGAATACTCAAGCTGAAAATCTGTACGGATGTTCTTTGTGTCTAATTTACTGAGAACAAAACGATCGACTTGATTCAAAATCTCACCAAATGTCAGAGTTAAAAGCTGAAAGTTGCTCCCACATGCCTGGACGCACTCTCAACAACATCTGGACGTACAACCGATGAGACGGCATGTGGTGTCCTGGGGCGTTAGTGAGCCACTGGATAAACTCTGGTGCTGTTTGGTGGGTTCAGATTCACTGATACATCCCAAAGGTTCTCGAGTCACGTCCTCGTTTCCCACACTGGAGTCTATTCCTTATCAGTCCTCGCTGGGTTCTCACTGGTTCTGCTTTGAGAGTCACCACCATCACTAGCAGCATATCAAAAACATAACACTTAAATGCTGTGGATCAAATGTTTGTGCATGTTTGAGGTTTCCCCCTCTTTGATGTGATGAGTGTTGGGTCATCGTTCTAAAAAGTACCTGTTGCACATATTACACGGAACGTTTTCTTAAGTAATGCAGTATATTGCTTAATTTGTTACGTTACTTTTGTGTTTCTTTGTAAAATGACATGAAACATCGTCTCATAGTTACCATTTAACAATCTAGACCTATAGGTTGCTGTCATACACACCAACACAATGAACGTTCGTATTTAGGTACGAACACAAAGCAAAGATGGAAACCATTATAGAAAGACTTCAAAGCGATCGTCATGGTGATTCTACTCTAGAAACATGAACAGATAGAAACACAGGCTTCAGCCTGACGGCTCATCAGTTTGTTACCTGTTGAAGTTCAGGGTCTGGCTGGGGGCTGGAGTCAGCTCTCACTCAGCTTTAAGATCACTCTGGGGTCTTGGCTAGCTTAGCGTTAGCATGCTGTCTGTGCAGGTGCTAGCAAAGAGCTGAAGTTGTGTTAGCAGCATAATGCAGTTGTTTCTGTCTTGGATGCAGTTTTCACTTAAACATCATGCTTCTGTCCTTTTGTGGAATAAGAGTAATGTCCATACAGTGCAGATTGAGACACCATTTTCCTTCTCCTGCACACGAACTAGAGTGAGCTGATTGTAGCACAGTAAGCGAAATCGATAGGCAAACAGATGAACAATTCCAAGGAATCAAACTTACTGC